GCATCTTTCTTAAGCTAGGGATTTTGAATATTTCTTCATGTGCTTGTTGGCCATCTGAATGTCTTCTTTGGTGAAGTGTCTTGTTCATATCCTGTGCCTATTTTTCGATTGGATTATTTACCTTTATCTTGTTGTGGTGGCATTTTTTTTTTTAGGGTTCAAATTGTTTTCCTGTGAAACATTCTTCTAGGAGGTATAGCACTGGTCTGTGTGTTGCTGTACAGAGGTAACTCGTGGTTGCTGTGATGCTTAACACTGGGACACTGGTGTGCCAAACGTGGTAATGGGCACCCATGGTGGACAGTGTTTGCTGGAGCTTCCCAACTAAAACAAGCCTGGAAGCAGGAGCGGCATCCACTTCTGAAATGGCTTGCCTCTGGAAACTCTATGTATGAACAGTGCTCAGGCCTTTAGTTCATAGGGTTGCTATGAGACGTCTATGACTCGATGGCACCTAACAACAACAAACGACTGAATAGTGTACTAGACTTCCAAAAGAACAAATGTCAGAAAAAGTGCCCCCAGAGTACTCCTTGGAGGCAAAAATAGCAAAACTTTTTCTCATATTTTACTTTGGCCATGTTGTTAGAAGAGGGTATTCCTTGGAGAAGGACATCATGCCTGAAAAGGTGGAAAGTGGGCAAAAGAGAAGACCCTCAACCAGATGGATTGACATAGTGACTACAACAGTGGACTCTAGTGTATCAAGAGATTATGAGGAGGGTTCAGATCGGTCATTGATAGGGTGGGACTCAACTCAACAGCACCTACCAACTAGTGTTTTATTGGATAACAGAACTATGGCTAACATTAAGAATGGGAAGTCCAGAAGACCTCAATTATACTAAGCCTACCTAGACCAAGAGACTGTTGTGTGAACAGAGATAGGGAACACTGCTCGGTTTAAAATCAGGAAAGGTGTGCATCAGGATTGTATCCTTTGTATCTATTCCATCTGTACACTAAACAAATCATTTGAGAAGCTGGACTCTGTGATGAAAGTGGCATCAGGATCAGAGGAAAGACTCAACAACCTCCGTTATACAGATAAAACCTCTTGCTTGCTGAAAACGAGGATTTGAAACACTTGCTGCAGATCAAAGTCTTCAATATGGACTGCATCTCAACATCAAGAACACAAAAATCCTTACCACTTGGCCTGGTCAACATCATGAGATGGAGAAGAGATCATCTTACCTGAACTCACATCAGAAGTCAGATTAGGAAATGTACTGATTGCACTGGGAAAGTCTGCTGCGTGGCACCTCTCTAAATGATTGAGGAGCAATGATGTCTATTTGAAGACTAAGGCATGCCTGATTCAGACCACAGTCCTTTCAATCACTTTCTATGCATATGAGAGCTGGACAATAAATAAGGATGATAGAATTGATGCCTTTGAGTTATGATGTTAGAGAGGAATACTGAATATGCATCCCATGGGTTTCCAAAAGAACTAAGATATGTCTTGGAGATGGTGCAGCCAGAGTAATCCTTGGAGGCAAAGATGGCATCATGATTTGAAAGGCGGAGGGTCAGCAAAAGATAAGGGACAACCCTTGTGGAAACAGACTGACTTAGTGACTACAGCATTGGATTTGACTGTGTCAATGATGATGGCACATCATGACAGAAGGGGTTCAGATTGTTCATACAGTAGCTGAGTCATACTCAATTCTCTAGTACCTAACAATAAATGCATTATTTACTGTTGTGTACCTTTTGTCTCATAATCTTATAGGCGTAGTATAAAGTCACGTGCACAAAAATGTAGGGCGAGACCTTATGGAAGAGGGATGACAGATCCGTTAGGGAAGGCAGGCACGCACTGCTAGGTGGTCGACCTTGGCCAACCTACTGTTGCTTTGAAAATTAATCACAACTTAGATGACTAGCATTTGTTTCCTATTGTTACTCCAGAGCCTTTTCCCTTTGTTGTTAGGTGCCACTGAGTAGGACTCATAGTAACCCTATGAACAAAAGATCTGAACCTTCTCTATCCTGCACCATTCTCACACCCATTGCAGCAGCCACCCTATCATTCCAACTGAAGGTCTTCCTGTCCCTTGCCCATCCTCCACCATTCCCAGCAGCAAGTCCTTTTCCAAGGAAAAGCAGAATAGCCCCTCTAACAAGCCTAATGTAAGGTGAAGCCTCATCATTCTTGCTTCCAAAGAGCACTCGGGTTATAATATCCAAGATATACGTTTGTTCTCTTGGCCATCCATGGGATGTTCAGTGCTCTTTTCCAACACCACAGCTCAAAGGCATCTTTTTCTGTTTCTTTATCCATTGTCCAGTTCTCAGATGCATAGCAAGTGACTGAATCAGATGCACCTTAGTCCTCAAATTGACATCATGACTCCTCAATAATTTTGCCATTATTACAGATCAAGTTTTAGAAGCCTTAGGCAGGAAGCATGGGGAAGCTAGAGGCAGTGGTGCTGGGGTGGTTAGAGTGTGACAGTTGAGTGGCTGAGTTTTATCTATCTCTATGAGGCAGTGAAAGGCCTGGACCTACCTCAAAGGAGTGGGATCACGGTGCTAGCAGCTGGTTGTGTGGCAGTGGGAGCAGCTTGCTTTTGAGGCACTGAAGTGAGTGAGTGTCTGGTTATCAGTTTTACCAGCCTCCCCACTCACAATTCACAAAGTGGTCCAAGTGGTATTTTTTCACATATGGGAAATAAATGAGGGAACTGTTTTGTCAACCATGATTTTAAATACTTTTGATTATTGTGAGACCCTGTTCTTATTTGCCTTCTTGGTTTGTTTTTCTGTGCTGGATTGATTAAACTGTCTTCGACCATCTCAGGTGATAAAGGTTGGTAGTGATTGCGTCTGTTGATTAAAATAAGTCCTGATGCTGAGGAGGAAGGGGGGTGGGGGGAAGGCCTTAGGCAGAATCTAGGAAACTTGGCTGACCTGCTCCCAGTACAGATAGGAAAAGGACTGGACAAACACTCTTACAAAACCTCATTCCATATTATTTTTGTGACTGAGATATTTCACTCAGCATGTCCTCCAGGGTCACCCATTTTGAATAATATTGCATGAGTTCCTTTTCAATGCAGCGTAGTATCCCATTGTGTGAATATACCAGAGCTTCTCTATCCATTCCTTTGTTGATGGGCCCTTAGGTTGTTTCCAACTCTGCTATTGTGAACAAAGTCACGATAATCATGGGTGTGCATTTATGCTCACCCCATGGTCTTGAGCAAGCCAATCCTACTCTATCCCAAAATTTCCAGAGCCAGGCCAATGTCTACTTTGATCTCTCATCAGAATCCTATTCCCTGTTAAATGAAGTCATCACTATAATACAATGGAACAGTATCTGACAGAACAGTTCCACTTGTTTCCCAAAATCGACTACATCTGAGTCAATCAAGAATAACTGTGTTAGGGAGTTCTGGTGGCCTACTGGCAAGAAGCTGCACTACAATCCCAGAGGTACGTGGTTCGAATCCAGCAGATGCTTTGCTGGAGGAGGAGGAGCAATCTCTTGTACCAGTCAAGATCTGACTTGCTGGTACACACACATATGCCAGCAAAACATAAACCAGCCCACCCAGCATCTATTCATTCTCCTTAAATAAACAACTGGATCTGTGTTAAAATAAATAAATAAATTTAATAATTAGAAGAGAATAAACTATGTTGTTAATTACCTTCGAGTAGAACATGACACATAGCAACCCTATGAAGAGGCCAAAAGCCCTTCCACTACTGACATTTATCAAAGTTCATAGTTTCAGGAGGCATATTTAGGAAGCAGATGCTATTCCTGCTTCCAAACCTGTCATAGTATGTTATGTGCCACTGGGTTGCCTGTGGTGGATACCGACCCTACATAAAGTAGGCCTGAACCCTTCCCTGTTCTGAGCCAAGTCTACTGCTGAAACACCAATCCTCCATTGCCCCAGTTACTGTGTTAATCCATCTCATCTGGGGTCTCCCTCTACTGCGCTGTCTGTCCACCCTTCCAAGCATGATGTCCTTCTCCAAGGGCTGATCTCTTCAGGCCACGTGCCCAAAGTTAAGTGAGGCAGAGCTTCAAAATCCTAGTCCCCAAATATGTTCAAGACTTCTCCAGGACCACAATGCATCTATTCTTCTGTCATCTTTGGTCATTGTCCAACTCTCTGAAGCCTAAGTAGTAATTGAGAAAACCATGACCTGGATTAGGTGCACATTTATCTAGACTGACACTGTTATTCTTCAGCATTCTGGAGAGGTCCATGACAGCAGATTTTCCCAATGAAATTGCGTCTTTTGATTTCCTGACTGCTTAGTGTTGATTGTGGATTTGAGCAAGCTGTTAATTGTTAACCTCAATCTCTTCTCCACCCATCATGGTTCTGCCAATTGGCCCACTGGTGAGAATCTTTGAAGACTACAGTCCTCAACCTTTTGCAGCAAGTGCTTCAACCTGTTTCAGCAGGTTATATTATCTGCATATTGTAGGTTGTGAATGAATCTTCCAATCCTGATGCCACATTCCTCCTCATAAAGCCCTGCTTCCCAAATGACCTGTTCTGCATAGATTGAAAAGGTATGGGGACAAGATGCACCCGACGCACTCCTTTCCTGATTTTTTTTTTTTTCCTTTCCTGATTTTGAACCATGCGGTATTTCCTTCCTGTTCTGAGGACTACTTCTTGGTCCAAATATATGTTTCATATAAGCATGATCAAGTGGTCTGAGATTACCATTTTCTTCAATTTATTGTGATCCACACAAATGTTTTTGCATAGTTAATGAAACAGACAAGATCCATCTGACATTGGCAATAATGTCTGTGGTGCCATGACCTCTTCTAAACCCAGCCTGTATTTCTGGTAGTTCTGTCAACATACTGTTGATGTCTTTTCTGGATAATCTTTAAGTGAATTTTGCTAGTGTGATATTTCCTAAACTCTGTTAAGAGAAATTAATTTGACCATATTGATATTTCTAAAATTTCTTAATGAGCTTAAAGAGATTTACTTAGCCAGTTTATGGATTTTTCTTTTTTATTAAGATTTGGGTACATCAAATAAAATCACTTTTTTGGGGGGTGGAAAAACCAAAACCCACAATAGAAAAAAAATTTTCCTGGGCTACAGCAGAACCCAGACAATAGTTATATAATTGAAAAATTCTAGATGTTTCATAATTGACCTTTTGATACAAAATGACCTATTAAACTTGCAATTTGTAGTTCTTGATGTTGAGGTCCATAGGACAAGCGAGGAAGTCTTCATCTGAGCTGAAATCCAGAAGGGAGTTATTTGGCTTTTGAATCCTGAAATGAAAAAAAGGGGGGGGGGGGAAAGCACGATACATACATAATTAACATGACTGCTCTCTCATTGTTACCAAGTCAGAACCAACTCATAGCTCTTTAGTAGATTCAGAAGTTGTAAATAACAGAGGAAACTGTCAATCTTTCTCCCAAGGAGCAGCTGGTGGATTCCAACCACTTGCCTTTGTGTTGGCATCATAAAACTGGAGAAAACCCAACTTTTGTGACAAGCTGAAAAAAGAAGGTATTCCCCTCCCCCAAGAGCAGGATATGTGAACCTCCATATGCTACTGACATACTTCATCCTGATAGATAATAAATCTGTCGTGGAAAGGTGTCTTGCATACTTTTTAAGTAGCATCCCTGCTTCCATCTGCTAGATGTCAGTAACGTATGCCCAGTTGTGACAACTAAAGTCTCCAGACATTGTCACATGCCCACTGCAGGGTAGTAGTAAGAGAATCATTATCTAGATACCCCAGGTAACACCCCACCCCACCCTTCTGCACTGAGCACCTCTATGGTTTTCTCACTTAGGCCTTTAAGACAGAGCCATGCTGAACCTACCCTCTATACCAGCTCTGGCTTTTTCTTTGCTTTGTGCATTCAGTTCCGTTCTCTTGCCATCTGAAAGCACCCAGAATCCCTAGCTCAACTCAGTCAGCCAAGCCTCAGCAGACGTGCTCACAAATCCCAGTTTGTAAACTCAAACTGGACCATATCCTGTAACTTGTGTTCCCAGAGCTAAGCCAACCTCAACAGTCTCAGGAAAACCCCAGAAAGTAATACTCATGCAGGCTCTGTGATATGTGTATAAGAGAAACCTTTAGGACTCAATGCTTTTCTAGCCCAACAAGGTCATCCTTGAGAAGGATCTGACCAGATCTTTATGGAGAAAGCATGTTGGTTTGTTCCTTAGGAGTCATAAAATGAGCTCTACCCTCTTTTCTCTACAGTATCTCATCCAGGCAACAGGAAAAAATCCCAGGTGACAGTCTACCCAGGTTACAAATGGCTCTTATATAAAAACTCTTAGACTCTTAGAAAGTTGATCTCAAGAAGCTGCACTGCAATCCCAGAGGTGCATGGTTTGAATCCACCAGATACTTCGCTGGAGAAGGAGGGACAAACTCCTCCTGTACCAGATACAATTTAACAGTACACACACACACACACACACACACACACACACACTCACACACACTCTCAAAAACAATTTTTAAAAAAAATGTTGATCTCAAATCAAAACCATTTCAGTGAGTGAGAACAGTTAAACATACGTTTTTCCTTGTCTAAGAGGTAGCAGCAGCAACAGCGCCCACCTTCTGGGCAGCTTCTTTCTTGGCATGATGAGCCTGTAGAACCGCCACAGCTTCATCCACCTGTGAGAAATCCCAGTGGGTAGGTGATTTTAAGAGAGCTCCCGATAACCAGGCACAGGGTCAAGAATTGAGTAGAAAGATGACCCTAGAGATTTGGAGACTCATTTCTCAAGCACCCACAAAAAAAGCAGGACCCAAATCACTAGGAAGGAGGATATTCCTCTCTGACTCTCAGTGCCCCTTATCCTCCTGAGTGGGGCCAACAGATACCCTCTGAGCCCAAGAACCTGCTCACCTTGGAGCGGAGAGACTCGTGTGACTCTAGCATGTGCAGCAGCTCAGAGTTGTCTATCTCCAGCAACATCCCTGTAATCTTTCCAGCTAGGGTTGAATGCATTGATTGGATGAGTGGGAACAGACGTTCTCCTATGGGAAGGAGATTTACATTAAAAACAAACTCAGATCTCATCAGAGCAAAGAACTGATTGCTAGCTAAAGTGCAGGTCAATATCAAGTTTGGGCCCCTCTTACACAAAAAAATGGGTCACTCACCCAGCATCTGCTTCTGTTCTTGTGGGGGTGCTGCAGCCAGCATTGAGGCAGTTAGGGGCTCCTGACCCTGAACATGGACTGCAGCCTGTGGGGGCTTGAACCAGAAGGGAAGCAGGTTAGCAACAAAGGACACAAAACTCTTGTTCACAATGGTGGAGGTCAACACAGGCCATCCAAACTTTCAACTCTGAATGGTTATTATGTGGCATTTTTGAGAGCAAAGAACTAACTTTAGTTTTTAGGGACTGAGGAATACAAAGGATATGAAGCAGCATAAAATCAACACAATTACGATCAAATGGTATGACATTACAAGGAAGGTGAAATGACAATAATAAACCTACAATGACAGCCAAGAATTCTGACACAAACTTAATTTACCCAAAATAATGAAAGAATTTGAAGCCTTCTTGAACTTGTTGTACAGGCCTTTCTGTCAGGCTGCAGGAAGTTCCAGTTTAGAAAGCCTAAGATCTTAAGCTAAAACTCTTGCAGATCAAGTTCCTTCCTGCCTTATTATACCTGCCATCCTACAGGGGAGCTAAGGATCATATAGGACAATGGATATGACCTCAGAGTGGAGTATATATAATATCATAAAAATAAAAAGGGGTGAGCTCTGATGGCCTAGTAGCAAGAAGCTGTACTACAATCCCAGAGGTGTGTGGCTCCAGATGCTCTGCTGGAAGAGGCGGGACAATCTCCTCCTGTGCCAGTCAGATCTGATTTGATGGTACAACCCCGCCCCCCAAAAGAAAAGAAGGCAGGAAGCATCGGAACACTTAGTACAATTTGTCTTTCTTTTTAAGCCCTTCTCTCTCTCAGACAACATTTGATTAATCACTGCAGGGTTAAATACCCTAACACATAGCAGGTAACAAATATCTGCTGAAGGAAAGTAGTCTTCCATCTAATAGGAGCAGGAAAAACCCTGGTGGTAGTCTGTGGGAGACCTCACCTGTAGAGGCTGCAGCACAGGATGAGGGCTGCGGACATTGGAGGCATATTTGTATGGTGCCACAGCCCGAGGAGCCGCAGCAGCTACGGCAGCCCGAGGTGCTAGGTTCTGCACAGCTGTGGGTACACCTGAGGGGAAAAGCAAATAAAATTAAAGCCCATCATTCTGAGCAAAGACCCGTAAAATCCCATCTTTCCCCATCTGTGTGCATCCAATACCACCTCCAGACTGGCAGCTGTCAGTCAGCCCTTGCTGGGCGGCACCAGCCCCACCAAAGTCCATAGCCAAGCGGTCCGGGCACTCAGACCCTACAACAGACCAGCAAATGCACATCAGTGTTGGCAGCAAATGTCCAACTGGCCACGTCCCACGGAAGGAGCAATTCCAAAGTATATTCACTAGACATCACACAGAGGGACCACTACTGCTACTTGGAAAAGCCAACCAGTAACATACAACTCTTTCCACAGCTCAGAAAACACGACAGTCTGTAAAAGCATCCATGTCCTTGTACCTTGTGAAAGAATAGGCTGCGTCCCGCAGTCGTCCAGCTAGCAAACCTCTTTAATTTACCTTTTTATATGACAGTCACCAATGGGCACAAAAAACACAACACACCTAGAATTTTTCTTCATCTAAACTACCTATGTACACAACTAAAGCTACAGAACCAGGACTGGAAACACTGACTAGGCCAAGCCTACTCAGCCTGATCCCTCCCCGGGCAATGCTTCTCAAGGCCAGTTTGCTCACCGACTCTCTGAGTGGTAGTAGGGAGGCCACGAGAGGCCGGAGCATTACCAGTTGGAGCCAGATGGCGAAGAGCTGGACGTGGCCCAGACTGGCGTACAGCACTTGGCATTCCTTGGAAGCCTAGCGAACAAAACAAAACAAAACTGCACATCAGTGACAGTTAACGGACTTCTGCCAAAAGACCTAGATATTTTCCTTTTTAAAAACCTCTCTACAAAGGTGCATGCAGGAAAGGCAGAGGAAACCAGGATATTAGAGAATACATCCTGGGTGCATTGTCCCCCCCACCTACCTTGAGGTCTCCCACCTTGCTGCCAGCGTGGATTAGGTCTCATCTGTGCTAGCTGGTTTGGCGTGTAATAAGGAGGTCTTCCCTGAGCCTGGAACACAGAACATCATCTAAGCCCTTTTTAAAAATCTGAACTCAAAAGAACATTATCTCATCTCACCACCAAGTTATTCAGAACAGCTCTCTAAGAAAAGCTAGGGGTCAGCTAGAGAAGAATGTCTTATTCTGACAATGTGTGAGACAACCTCAAGGTCTGTGCTGAGGGTACAAACATCCAATAAACCCAACCCTCTTCATCATGACTGCAAGCTCCAAGAGCAGCTGGCAATGGGAGACCCCCAACAGACACAAGCACCCAGCAGACCCACCTGTGGAACTGCAGGCACAAAGTAGCCCCCAGCTGTAGGCTGAAACTGATTTAAGATGGCATTGGCAGGGAGAGCTCTCATTCCTGCCACCCGCTGCATATACTGGTTGGTCAAGTGAGCCTTTCTTTTTCTTTCCTCTGGGCCAGAGCAACATACAGTGGCTTAGAGCCCACAATGCGTCCGTTCATCTCCGTGACTGCTTTGGTTGCCTCTTCGGGAGATGAGAAGCAAACAAAGCCAAACCCTTTGCTTCTCCCATCCTCTAGCATCACCTACAAAACAAGAAAGCTATTTCAGTTTATGCGCTGGGGATTGGAAAGGCAGGTATTTCAGAAGAGCTAGAAAATTTGGGTTCTATTTAAGCATTAACTCATGACTAAGTTAGGGATTCTCAGTTGGGTCACAACCTCTGAGGGCTAGTGATTCTAAATTTCTGAGATGCTGTAATATGGTTTAGTGACAAAACATCATGACAAGAAAGTCCAACAACTTTTAGAATTCATCTACTTAGACCTTGGTCAAAGCTTTTCCAGCTGTTTCTGAAATAGCAAGAGCTCTGGTATAAGTCTGTACGGAGCTGTGCTGCTAAAAGGTGGGCAACTCTGGAGT